TAGCATCTGCGTTCACCGAAGGACTAACCAGGCGCCAAGCCAACTGATCCAATCTTCAAAACTAATACGACCTGTCCCAACATCATAGCAGGCGTCCGGCGGCATCCCTCCGGATGAAATTCGTCGCAGAGAGCAGCTCCCTTTTGGGTGGAACATTGCTCTATAAACTAATTACACGGCACCTATACGACTGTCCCCAAGGGCAACCACGTAGCCGTTTTTGAGACAAGGATAACTCTATCACTAACCAAACCAGTGGTAGCAGTTGACATCTGAGTCAGATGACCGCCTGTATTACTTGGGATAAATGCAGGGGGTACCTCTTGAGTTAATAGCCAACAAACATTGGCGAATCAAAAGGTTCAGCCGGCCTCCGCCGCCTGGTACCTTTACTACTCAAGCAGGAGTGACGGCGACTGAGTAACACCAAAGTTAACTCATAGTCACTCTCTCAAACTTAGTATGGAGCCTAAAAGGTATGAGTCGTCCGCCTGTTTTTAGCAAACAGGGGCTCTCAACCACTACTCCTGCTAGGTTAACAACCTATGAGTTAAAAGCCAACAAACATTGGCGAATAAAGGGGAACAACCGGTACCCACCGCTTGATACCTCTACTACTTGGCGACTAGGTAACAATCATGTTTACTTGGTCACTCCTTAAAAATTTAGTATGAAACTAAAAAGGTGTTCATACAGCACCTGTTCACACTAGATTAAATATGGCGGGGAACAATCGGCCTAGACGGCCTAAAGTCTCTAGCCTAAAAACATGACAAGTAGGAAACCACTTTCCTACTTGGTTAATTTTACAAATGACAGAACCGCCTGCCTAAAGGGGATCCAGTCTTTAAAATGGCCGACTGATCGTCTAGCCTGGAAACAGACAACCAGTCGTCCAGGGGCATAGGCGGCGTGACTAACTATCCGTACCTGTCTGCAACTATCGGCCATGTAAAACAGTCGGTATAGTGTACAATTGGATATCAGAATATTCAATACTTGAACAAATTTGAAGCAAAACAAAAATATTCATTAAAAGGAAGCCGATCATTAAAGACCGGCAAAATATTCAGAGCCCCGGCCCCCTGGCCGGGTAAATACAAACAAACGGCACGCAGGCCGGGGAAAGAAGACATAAAGCTTATGAAGGGGGCAGATCTTCAATATTAGCAGCTGCCGCCTGGTCAGCACTCTTTTTGCTGGACTCGGCTTTTGCTGCATCCTTCTTCGATGCATTACCCCTAAGCGGCACAAGCGCCACTACCGGCTGCTCCTCCTCCTCCAGCGCCTCTTCCTCAGCAGCCGCCAGGATCTCTTGATTATATCTATCAGGCGGTACGTTTTTTCCCAGGAGGCAAAGTCGGCATTGGGGAAGAGGCGGCCCCAAGTCATGCGCTGGATTTGAGCAGAGTCTTCCATCATCTCCCGGACCAGCTCTTTCTTTTCTTGCTCGGCCTTTTCCGAGAGCTCCTGAGTAAGACTCTTCTCCTGGGTCACCGGGCGTTCCTTTACGCTCGCCAAGGATTTCTCCAAGGTTTCGTATGAGGACATCTTTTGGCGAAGAGGTCTCAGCTCGGTCTTGAGGTTGTTGATGGCCGCCTCCAGCTCGCTATTCCTCTTCTGGGCCGCAGCGGCGGTAGCCTGCGCCTGATAATAAAGAATATCAATTGTCAGAACTTCATTTTGGGCAATTTGAAACATTGCCTTATCACAGTCAGAGGCGGCCATAGCTTTTGCAGCCTTTACCTCTTTGTTCTTCCGGTCAAGCGGCTTGCGAAGGCCGTTCACTCAGAGCAGGGCCTAAGTAAAAAGGGGAACAGGCGTCAGTTTCCAAACAAAAAATAAAACAGGCGTCCTGGAATTCAAATACTCAAAAATATGCTAAGTATACCTCAGCAAGGACCCCAGCAATCCCGTCTAGGTCAAGGGTGCCGACACCCCTGACCGCCTCCCTTTCAGCTGGAGGTACGACCTTGATCATAGACTTGGCCACTTCGACCAAGGCTCCTGAGGGCCGGCTGCATCAAGCATAAACAAACGGATTAGACCTAGTAAAGAAGGGAGCAAGTCTAAAATTTACAAGGACAATTTCATACTTTTAGGTGGTCCAGCTGGAGTTTTAGAAGAAGTGGCCGGCTGTTTCTCAGCCGCTCTCGCAACAGTCGTCCTCAGGGGCCTTGGGGTCCGGCTGTTGGGAAGAAGAAGCTCTTGGAGCGCCCGTCTAAAAAAGAAGAAAAGAGTCGGTATATGCATAAACACAACTCCAAAAAGAGGGTGAAAGGTTCGAAGCCCACCAAGGGTGCCCCCTTGTTGGGGGAGTCGGTTGAAGACTGTTGCATGATGGAGGCCCGCAACATGGCCGCCGCAGTCTTGGAGGCGGTAATTTTTCTCATGGCGTCCGCTGCAAAAACAAATAGCAAAGTTAATAAAAGTCATAACAAGAAATGCACGGAACAACAGAGTATTCGACAGGCCGGCTACCTCTTGAGCACCGACTGCTGAGGCCACAGGCGGCCAAAAAGTACTCGTCGTAGAGCCATTTGAAGCTCGGGACGCAGTGCAGGGGTACTTGCTCTCGTACCCCTGAAGTAGAGTTCACCGTCGACTCTACTTTGAAGAGTCCTTTATCAAGGATCTCTTTCTTAGCCTAGGGGGGAACAGGCGGCATGCTGCGGCCGCCTGCAAGAAGGGGAGGATTCCTGTTCCACCTGTTTCTGAACTCTCAATGATAAGGAAGGTGCTCCGCCAGTCCTTCCATTTGTTTGCTTTACCTCTCGTCATGAGGTAGCCCCTGTGGCTCGTCAATTGATACCAGCCGGTACCGCCTGCCTTAGGGGTCCGGCTGAGGTAGTTCATGTAGGCGAAAGCCTCGAAGTTCGGCTCCACCCCGTGCAGTTCGCACCCGGCCACATAGCCGAGTACGTTGACCCAGGAGTTCGGGGCTAACTGCCATAACCCCAACTCATACCCATCCAAGATCCGCTGAACAGCCGGATGTAGTGGGAAGCGCAGCCCAGCCTTAATGGCCGCCTCGTAGCAGCCAAAGCAGACGCCATCATAACTGGTACCAGCCGGCCAGACGACTGTGTCCTCTGGATCCGGCACGAACACTAAAAAGCCGGGGCCCATTGTGTGGTTTGCGATAAAGCTCCCCACTTTCTCTTGCATGGTCGTGATCCGGCCCCGAGGTACCGTGCAGTAGTAGGGGGTATTTTGCTCTCGGTGAGAGGCGGATGGCTCCGCCCAATCGTCCCCCTTCTCAACTGCGTGAGAAAGCCTCGCCTCTTGTAGGCGACTGTTTTTCTCTTCTGTGTCCAGAGAAGCATGACCAGAAGAGCTAGACTCGGATTCGTCCTCTGACGAGTCCGAAGAGGACGACTCCTCTCCTCTCTCGGAGGGGCCCGCCTCCTCTCCTTTCAAAGGAGAGAATGTAGAATTGTCAACTGTAAAGGGGTCACTTTGACTCCTCCCTCAGAACTGCCGGCTTTCAAGCCGCTTTGTTTCACTTCCACATCTGGTCAGATGTTTCACTAATCGGCACCCTGTGGGAGGAGCCGTCTGAGTTTGAGATCCTGGCAGTCTTTTTTGTTCTGGCCATCATGCTCTGCATAGACACAGATACAGTCAGACTTTGTATAAAGGGCAAAGATGGGTCCAGAAAAGGGCAGGCGGCACTCCTAGTCCTAGATTCAGTCGTCCCCGGTGACCGGCTGATCACTAACCTAGGTCGTGTCGTGTGTTTCCGTGGTGCCATTTCAAAAAAGAATAAAGTAAAGAGAAAATTAAGAGTAAGAGAACCGACGGTTACCTGAACGAGTGACGATTGATGAAGTTCTGAAAATCCTTTGCAGTCGGCTTGTCAGAGCAGGCGGTAGGCAGAAAGGGTCCAAAATGTCAGAGCAAGTTCAGGGGTCCGAATGTTCTCTCACAAAGTTTTCAATTGTGAAAATGACCGAAGTCAACACTCCTTTATATAGGCGAAGGGTCACTTCCAGAATTCAAAATTTTGGCGGGAGAATCTCTCGGCCTCTCGCCGAGTGACACGTGTAGCAGGCCGTCGTCGCCTGTTACAGGGCGATACCTGTCACAGGTAACACGTGACCAGTCACGTGCCACCTGTGAGGGGCAAATGATTAGGGGATTTTGCTCCCACCAATCGGAATGCGCCACGTGGGCCAATCAGGTCCTGCCAAGTGTCCCCCAGTTGGACCTCTCAGGGCTTGCCACGTGGCACACACTTATTCGTCCACCCTGGACTTATTATGTCATGACACGTGGCATACTCCATGCCTAATGGAGAAGCCGGTCACCTAGGCCCAACTTCCGAGGGAAGCCCAATCAGCCCAAGGTTAACCTAAACCTAGATTGGCACGTTTCCCGAGGTTATAAATACCTCCCTTAATCCTCATTAAGGGAGATTACGCAGATTACGCAGAGAACGCAGATTACACACATTAAACACTCTCACCTAGAGAGACCCAATCACTTTAATTTCCGCATTAATTACTCCTTAATCAAGTACTAACTTGACCGTCGGAGGCGGATCTCCAATCATCCGGAGCATCCGTTTGTTTTGCAGGTACAGGCGTCCGGTTCCAGTCTCGGAATTGTAACTCTCCCGCAGGACATCAGAAAACCCCGAAACAAGTACGTTGTGTAATCATGGCGTTTTCGGGTTTGAATTGCTTGTGTTATGTGGTGAATTGGTGATTGTGATTTTATAGATAAGTTGTAGGGGTCATTTGTTCAACTTTTGCGTTCAATTTCTGGCTTTAGTATTTTTTATCATCAAAATTGCTGCTGAAATGATAAATCATACAATGAGATGTTCAATGAATTATGCAGTTTGAGTGTTTTGTGAAATCGTTTTCTCTTGGAGTTAGATGTGCTTGTGCTTTTTGGTGCTTGTGATTTTGATAGTAAGTTGCTGCGGTGTTCAATATTGCTACATCTAAATGGAGGCCGGTTTGAATACTTGATATTTCTGAATTTATTTGCAGAGACTGTGAAGGAGCTGTATGATAAAATTCTTAAATCAATCAAAGTTGAAAGATCTGCTCCGCGAAATGCATGGTTGTGGTCACTCACTGAGAAATGTAAAAGCAGGGAAGACATTAAGCTTTTGTTTGATGTTTTGCAGCAGCTTCGAATTTTTGTTAGTGTCTAAAACTCTTTACAAATTGTAATTGATTTTCTTTCTTCAAATATTTTTATATATCCATAATCTGATCATCCCTTTTTTGTACAGAGACTGTCAAATCTCAGGATCCATGATAATTTCAATTGTAGCCTGTGCCAAGAAGTTGCAAAGGCGTGTGTTCAAGCTGGGGCTGTGAATTACGGTAGGCACCAGTATTACACTTTTTTTTATGGCTAGCTTGGAAATGTTATGCTCTTACTGAGTTTATGTAAGTATATGGTATTATGATTTTGTTCAAATTTTCTATTTGAAAATGTTGCATCTTTATTTTTTTAAAAGACTTTCTGGATTTCAGTCTCCTACTCTATGCTGCCGTATAGATAGCTTTTTGTGGGTTCATCAGTGTGTGTGTGTGTCAAGTAGTTGAAGCGTAACTAAGATCATAAAAAATAAAATAAGTACTGAAAATATAAATTAATACCTCTAAAAAAAATAAAAAATAAATACAAGCTAATAAATATATAAAGATCAAAAGAAAATCTGAATGTGAGTGTTATGGATGATGGAGTGCTACTGTATTTTTGCCATTGGAAAAAAAAAAAAAATTTATTCAGTTATCTGCTAGTCACAAAGCCATTAATCTTTATATTAAAGAAAAAACGAATAAAAAAAAAAGAAGAGAATAACTCATTTGTTTTGTCATGTTGGGGGATGCCTAATCAACTAGTTTACTGAAAGAAAAAAATTTGGGTTAAGGTACCACTTTTCTCTCTCCTCTTGACCGATGATAAAAGAAAAGGGGGTGGGGCTGGTAAAGTCACATATTTGACCTTATTTCTTTTTGAAATATCACCCTCCCTCCCTAAGAAAAGCAAACTTACCAAACAGTCGTGTTATCCAAAAGGCACTCACCTTGCTACTTAATCAAAGAGGCATGCTCCTCATTGCGCCTTTTAAAGGTCATCTCCGGAGCGCATTTTTTCCTAGGTGTGGCATCAACCCGCTTTTAAAAACTAAGATCCAACTCCATCATAAGTTTGTCTTATGTTCCCATATCTAGAATCAATCTTCTAATACAGTCTTACAAACCCTTCCCAATTTCCTTACAACAAACATCATTGGGTTTATCATAATGAATTCTTGGATTAAATAAATTTGGTAGCATGCTAAGGTTGATGAAGCTGGTATTCCTGCCTTTTAATAATGAACTCAAAAGCTCTTTTATAATGCTCGTCTTCTATACCTATACTCTTTTCAATAGCTTTCTTAGTCCTATTTATGGATTCATAAATACACACCATAGGTGGTTTTCTCCTTCGATCAACAATCCTAAGAACTTTAACAAGCCCCCATGTCTACTTAAGGGCATATATGATATCCCTCTAAAAGGTGTCTCGCAAAATAAATGTTGCTTCTTTCTTTCCAATTGGTTGCTTAAGTTACCATCTTCCTAGAATCGTTCTTATGCTTAGGAATTTTGTATGTGCATCATTGGAAGTTAGAAATTTTGTGACGACAAGCCCATGCATATTCTTTTGATAGCTGAATACCCTCATCATGTTCTCAAGAGATATATGGTTTTATATGAATACATGAGCTTGCACTGTTTTAGGGCATTCTTAACTTTTGCACTGTAGGAAGTGCTCCCCTTCGAATCAGTACCCTGTAGCCGAAACAACTCCCTCCAAAACGAGCTCAAGAACACCCTATCCCTGTCGCACAATACTCCCCGGAAAACCATGTAACCGAACCACCTCTTTTACAAAGGCCTCTGCCACTGTGAGGGCAGAAAAGGGGTGGCGCAACCCAACGAAATGGGCATACTTAGACAGTCGGTCTACCACCAACAAAATAGTGTCGACTCCCTTAGAGCGCGGAAGACCTTCTATGAAGTCCATTGTTATATCTTCCCAAACCTCACTCGGAATCGGCAGCGGCTGCAATAAACCGGCCGGATTTTGTTGCGAGTGTTTGTTTCTTTGGCAGGTACCACAAGCCCGCACATACTCCGCGACATCTTGTCTCATCCCTTGCCAAAACCATTCCACAACCATTCGCAAGAAGGTTTTTGTCTCCCCAGCGTGACCCCCTTCCACGGAGTCACGGTAAGCCCGCAAGAGGGTGGCTTTGATGCCGAAATTTTTAGGAATTACCACCCTCCCTTTATACAACAACCTTCCTCCTTCAACATTGTAGCCCGTAACCCCTGTTCCTTCCAAACTTGCGTCTTTTATAGATTTCAGCACTGCATCTTCTTCAATTTCCGCCTCTAGAGACTCCCAATTCACTCCCTGAATACTAACCAGGGCACCAAACTCGCCCTCATCTTCGCCGCACATCGAGAGGGCGTCCGCAACCCGATTTGCCGTGCCGGGTTTATATTGCAAGTCAAAATCAAACCCAAGTAACTTGCGAATCCATTTCTGATGTTCCATGGCAACCTCATGCTGTTGTGTGATAAATCTCAAGCTGTGCTGATCACTTCTCACTATAAATCGACGGCCTAATAGATAGTGTTTCCATTTTTGTACCGCGAGACAGACCGCCATCAATTCTTTCTCATACACCGATTTCCCGCGGCTCGTCGGACCTAAAACCTTGTTGTAGAACGCAATAGGTCGGCCCTCTTGCATCAAAACGGCCCAAGATCAAACCCTGAAGCATCGGTTTCCACAATGAATTCTTTGTGGAAATCGGGCATTGCTAACACTGGTGCTTCTGCCATGGCGTGCTTGAGCTTTGCGAATGCTTGAGTAGCCTCCACTGACCCTTTTTAAGACCCTTTTTAAGCTGGTGTGTTAGGGGATGGGCTATATGAGCATATTGGCAAATAAACTTTCTGTAATAGCCCGTTAGGCCCAAAAAGCCTCTCAACTCTCTTAAGGTTTTGGGAATGGGCCAAGTAAGCATGGACCTCACTTTTTCTTGGTCTACTGTCACCCCATGCTTAGAGATTATATGGCCTAAGTAAGCAACTTCCTCTTTCCCAAATCACATTTTTTCTTATTTGCATACAAAGTGTGCTCCCTCAACGTGTCTAACACTATACGTAAATGCTTGACATGATCTTCCTTACTAGTGCTATAAACAAGAATATCATCAAAAAATAAAAGTACAAATTTTCTCAAGTAAGGGCGGAATACCTCGTTCATGAGTGATTGGAAGGTGGCCGGAGCATTAGTTAGGCCAAATGGCATGACCAAAAATTCATAGTGACCCTCATGGGTGTGAAAAGCCGTCTTGTGAGTGTCTTCGGCTTTTACCAAAATTTGATGGTAACCAGCTTTGAGATCAAGTTTAGAAAACACTTGGCCCCATGGAGCTCATCAGGGAGTTCATTTATGATCGGGATCGGATATTTATCCGGTACGGTCTCCTTGTTAAGGGCCCTATAATCCACACAAAACCTCCACGAACCATCTTTTTCTTGACCAAAAGGACCGGGCTCGAGAAGGGGCTAGTGGATGGCTTGATAATTCCGGCGGCCAACATTTCACCAATAAGCTTCTCTATCTCATCCTTTTGAAATTGAGGATATCGATAGGGCCGTACACTCACCGGATTACTCCCATCTTTAAGAACAATAGCATGATCTCGCCCTCGGCTCGGGGGTAATCCCTTAGGACTCTCAAAAACCTCCGTATAGTGCTCAATTTCGGGCCTAAAAAATTCTGGAATTCCCTCTCCATCCTCACTGCCCACGCCCTCCATGTGGCTAAATTCCACCAAGAACCCACCTTTTTCCTTGCGCAAGTTTTTAACCATGGCCTTTAAGTGACTCCGGTGCATGCTAGGGAAGGATCTCCCTTAACACATGCGGTTTGGCCATTCAATGTGAAGCTCATTTCTTAAGTCTTCCAATTTGTGAGAACCGTTCCCAATTTTGCACACCAAAGATAACTTCCGAGTTTCCCAATTGTAGAGGAAAAAAATCCTCCACTATCTCCACCTTGTCACCCAACTTGAGGTGCACCCCCGTACACAAGCCTTGCCCCTTTACGGTTTCGCCATTTCCTAGAGACACGCCGAAAGTACCACTCCCCTCCACCGCAATCCCCAACTTCTCTATCGTATGCAAAGAGATAAAATTATGAGTAGCCCCCGAGTCTATCATCACCACTACCTTTACTCCATTAATCTCTCCAGTCAACTTCATTGTCTTAGGATTCGTAATTCCTATTAATGAGTGCATCGACATAGACGCGGGAACCTCGACCTCTTCACTTGGAGGGGCTTCAATGGCAGCAAACTCATGCCCTTCCTTTTCCTCCTCCTCTTCTTCTACCAACAACACACTAAACTCCTTGGCACGACACACATGGTTGAAATCCCACTTCCCATCACACTTAAAACAAAGACCTTTAGCCTTTTTGTCTTGAATCTCTCTTTACACCTCCAGAGAATGCTTGAAGTTGATCCAGTGGACCCAATGGAACTTTGGGCCTTACTTGCTGACGGCCCAGATTGGGAAAGGGTAGGCTGGCCGGCCCACTTCCTCCCAAGATGGTGCTGGTCGGGCTCTTGTTGAAAAAAGAGTATGGGCTGGGCTTAGAGAAAACTCTATTGGGCTTCTTCATTCCTTGGACTCGGTTTCTTTCCTCCACCCGAGTAGCCAGGTCCATGGCCTGCTCCAAGGTGAAAGGATTTAACATTCGCACTTCCGCACGTATATCCTCCCTCAACCCATTAAAAAATTGACCCTTTATCAGACTCTCCGGCACATCGGAAAGCGGTGCGGCCTTCTCGATAAACTCCCTTCGATACTCTGCCACCGTGGAGGTGTGTTCGACTGCCAGCCACACTGCTCGTGCAGTGACCCAACGTTGGTTGGACGAAATTGTGTTAGAATGCGATGCTTCAGATCCTCCCACCCTCGCAATGGACGCCGACGATTCTCCCATTGATACCACCTCAGACCATCTCCCTCCATTGACACCATCCCAGCTTGGAGTTGCTCCTGCCGGTAAAACTTGAAATACTGCCCTGCCCTCAACAACCACCCGTCGGGATCGTCGCCGGAGAAAGTGGGCATGTCCAACTTCCGAAATTTCCAATTTCCCCGACTTTCGAAGTTTTCCCCTTGGTCTTGCCCCCGAACGGTCGAATGGGCGTCTCTGTGTTTTGACTCTCGCCGTGGTTCATACCAAACCCACCGGCGCCCGACGCTTCTGCCTCCTCCTCCAACGTCACCGGTGGCTTCTGTCTGGTACGTATGGACTCAATGGCCCCACGCATCTCCTCGAAAATTTTTTCCTGGTCGCGCCTCACCAAGGCCACGTGTTGGGTGTGGTCCTCCCGGATTCGTTCAATCCTCCCATCAAGCCGCTGAGCTTCGGTGTTCTGTTGCTTGGTGAACTGCTCTGTCAAGGTCTTCTGGAGAGCCTCCATACTTTCCGTGATGGTTTTGGACAAAATGGCTTGGATGGAATTTTCACCATCTCCCACCTTTGAGGCCATCTCCAACACATGACCCTCAAGGGCTTCAATGCGTTGAGTGTTCGATGCCGGAGCCATACCTGCTCTGATACCAATTGCAACGAAGCGCGCTCTACACAGATAAATTCTAAACAACAAGAAGATAAGCAAGGCAGAAGACAGTTGATTGAATTGATTTGGCCGAAAGGCTTGAAGAGTTTTCTACTACAACTAAGGCTACTACTAAGATGTTACAACTTTTCTGAATGAATCCCTCTTTCCTTCCCTCTAGCTATTTAAGTCTCTTCTAACATACTACATGTGACTAGCCTTAATTACTAATAACAACTAAATTTGTCTTCTTCCCTTGGTGCCAAAATAAAGCTCTGAAAAGTGAATCTGTTCTGATTACATGTCCCCTGCTGCTGGCTGTTGTTGTTGCTTGTCTTGTGGTATGCTCGGTTTGTTTGTGTTGCTTGTACCCTCCTGAACTTGCTGCCTTCTCCTGTGATATGTGTATACAATAGGCAGCCTTGATTGGTTCGTTACATTCTGCATATGGAGTCCTATAAAGATGTTGTCTTTTGGCCATTTTCTAGGAATTTACAAAATAATGAAAAAGACATAATTTACAAATAACCCTAAGGAAGAAATTCATTACAAAAGTTAGGAGATGAACTAAGTTTCTTACTTGCCGCTACCTGGATAGATGGATTGTCCATAACCACTTGAATGATAGTTTTCTCTCCAAATTCCTCAACCATTGCATCATTCACTAATTCAGAAATATTCATGGAATTTATGAGCACAAAGCCCTTTAAGACTTGACAAAAGTTCGCAAAGTCCTCATAGGCAACTGAATCATGCCATCCACTGTATAAAATTGAACAACCTTTAGTTGCCCACTCCTTCTTGTGACTATCCACTAGCTTGTTAATGTATTTTATTTTCTTTTTAAGAAGATGAACTTGTAGCTCATGCATACTGGGTAGCTTAAGTTTAGGACCATATCGTCCAACTGATTACTCATGACTTTAAATCTATTATAAGTTTCTACATTACATGCTATTCTTGTATTATAAAACCCTGCAAAGCCCTCACAAGCTTTATCCGTTAATTGTTTATAACTAACTCAAAAAATTCCTTGACTTTCTTTTAATTAGGATTTGGCTTTCCATTTTTTCTTGCTGGATCACAAGAGTTGGTTGATCTTTTCTTCCTGTGGATGGAGTGCCCATATTACTATTTTCCATATCAATCAGCAAGTTGGAAGTATATACATCAACCTATATAGTAACCATGCTACTGCTAGAAAATTAAAAGGGAAAAAAATTGCTACTGCCAGAAAATCAGAACAAAAAAAAAAAAAAAAAATACAAACATAAAGAAAGGAAAATAAAAGAAAGAAAACAGAGAATGGAAGAAGAAAAAAAAGAAGCGGAAAAAAGGGTAAAAATTGTTACTGCATGAAGGGAAAAACTCTACACAAAAAAGGACGTAAAAAATAGACAAAGAGAAGGAAAAATGTAGAGGATAAGGGCAAGTATTTGATCAGCAAGAAAATGTAGAATCGAAAAAAAAAAGATAAAATGAAAGAACAAAAAAGGTTGTTGGAGAGTGGCAGTCAGAGAACTAGAGAAGGGCTAGGGTGTTTTTCAGATTTCCAATATATTTTGGCTACCAAATGTAAAATGCATAAGTGTAGGGCTACCAATTAGTCTTTCCCTTCTTTATTCTTAAATCGAAAGTGGCAGGTGTTATATTTATTTTGTAATAAAGTAGGTATTTGCATTTGAGTTGTTTATTCATGCATTTTTGTAAAGGTTTCTATATGTGATTAATTTCAGGTGTTGAAAGTATTGTTCTGCCTGTCAAATCCATTCCCACCCAATAACATGGGCCTTAAATTGTTTTTGAAATTGGCACTCTTAATCCTTTTATGTTTCATATGTTGGGCCAAATTAATGTAATGTCTGAAAACAATTGGTGGTGATGTATCATGCGGCAGGATCTAACTTAAACATGTAGCAGCATTCAATGTCCCATTATTCTATAATTCTATGGTAATTATTCTGTAAGATGCTGTTCAGCTGGTCATGTTCTAACAATTCTACTTCATGTTTGCTTCTTCTTTCAACTTGAATGCTTGGCTCTGTTTTTTTTTTTTTTTTTTTATTTTATTTTTATTTTTATTTTTATTTTTATTTTTAACCCACCTAAGTACTTCATTGCAGGAAAGAAAGCATTATTTAGGCATAATGTTTATGGTTTGACTCCTACTAGTGGTTCTGCAAACCAACTATTGGTATGTATTGACAAGCTATAATTGTGGCAGAGTTTGTGCTCGTTGAAGTATATTGTACCATAGAATTAAAATTTTGCATGCAACTTGAGCTATTGTATGATACTATGCAGTCCTATGCGAAGGCGCAGAAGGATGTTAAGCTCATGGTGGACATAATGAATCATTTAAGAAAGAACAATTTACCATTACAACCTGGAACAGCAGACATCGTTTTCAGGTATTCCATAAATCTGTGAGATTGTCACATGAGGAGTTATATACCTGTGAGATTGTACATGCATGCGTGTATATTTTGTTACTCTTGAATGAGTACTATAGCCCTTTCCTGGTTCGCTTCAATTTTGCTGAAGGATTTTCTAATTGTTATTTATTTACCTTTATAATGTTGCCTAAGTTAATTAAATTAACATCATGTCTATTCATTGTATAGTGTGGATTTTTTTGGTTCAATTGCATCATTACTTGATATTTGGGACTTGGAAAGAAACAATTACTTTGTGCTTGTCCAACAAGAAGTTCAAAATCCCATTGTTAGGGTAATGGTGTTAGTATGACAAGGTGATAAACTTGCATGCTACATTGTCTTAAAGGGGTAGATGGGCTTCTGCTATAGGCATCAACATATTTTGAGAAAAGGCTAACAAAAGGTCAAGTGATACCAGTCTATTACTATAAGAAGTCCAATTTCAGTCATGATTGTGGGAATAGTCACGGTGATACTGGATTGGATGTAATGCGTTCATCGTGGATTGGGTTGTGGTTGTTGTTGTAGGAATTTGTTTTCATAGTCTATTTAGGTGTATTTATAATAATTTTACCCCAAACAAATAATTTACTTGTATGTTTAGGTGTTTTTCATATCTGTTAATATAACTTGCGAATAATAAGAAATTTAATACGATTCACAATATGTAATAATAGAAATGATAATTAATATTAAATACGACTTGTACTAAAATTCAATAAATTTTGGTTTTATAAACTTATTAAGAAAATCATACTTTTTTGTGTTTAAAAATAGGCTGTTATATTTGCTTCCCCATGTAAAAATAAATTGTCGAATTGCTATACATGAATGAAAGTGTCGGATCCAGAAGTAAAGAAACTCTTCTCCATAGATATTCTGATTCTGCTATTACAATCCCCGTTTGTAAAGGGAGAATTTACGTTTTTTTGAGTATTAGTAAAGTGGGGTCAGGAAGTGATTGTAATTTATTGTGCCTTCATTATTGGTCAAAAAAGTGAGAAAAAAAAGGAGGTTCATGGAGAGCCTAAATCCTCAGAAGTCCTTGCCTTATAACTTCGTTGATGAAGTTTTGGTTCGGAACAACGGGAGGGGACAAGGTGTCAAAAATATTGCCCTGAATTAGTTTATTTCGTTTTGTCAACTTTTGGTTCATTACAGACTGGCCGCCTTGCAATGATACGGCCTTAACGAAAATCATAATAAAATATCAAACATAGAAATAATGCAGAAAATAGTTACAATAGTCTTAAAATGCTATTGCATGTTAGAAAAATTCTTGGGGAAAATAGTGATGTGCTTTGTAAGGCACCCATATTAAAATACATATATGTAGCAGCAACCAAACTATCTCAAAAGGACCATGGAGTATTGGAGGAATTAGAAAACTAATAGCTAGTGATGGAGGTGAATTATGGGGCCAAACCAGTTTTAATTTTGTATTGTCTTTTTTTTTGTATTTTTTTTTTCTTTATGATAAGTCTTTATTGAGGTTCCTATTGTTTTCTCTTGGAATATTCAGTTTGATATTGTCTGACCTCCTCATTAAAACAATAAAATGCTTCTAAAAAAATAAATAATAAGAAAGCTTCACAAAAGCTGGTGTAACAATAAGAAAAATTTGGACCCTAATTAATTTTTTGGCAAGTATTTGTTTGCTTAGATGTATGTGATTGAGGTAGCATGAGCTCGGCTTGGATGATTAGCTTGTATCTCCTTTAGTTTGAAATACAACACAGAACTTAAGTTCATACTCCCTCCGTATTTTATTACTTGCTCCATTTCTTTGGACATAGAGTTTTAAGAGGATTAGTAGAAAGTATTATTTTATGAGGAAGTGAGGTTGGTTGAAGAATAAAATATTTTGAAAAAGCAAAAGTGAGTATAAGTGGGGAGGAGAGAGAATATGAAAAATATTAAAATATGATATGAGGTGACCACTAGTTGGTAGGAAAATAGTCAAATTTTTGTTAAAAGTTTCCAAAAAAGAAAGTAGAGCTAGTACTAAAGTACGAAGGGAGTATTCTTTATATTTGTAGGGGACCATTTTTATAGGCATGACATGAGTCTGTTGGTGGATTGGCTTTTATGTAACCAGAGTTGTGAAATTCTATCTTGGTTCTTCTGTAGTTTATCAGAAGTTCAACTACTTGGTGCGAAGTTTAATATGATTTAATTATAAGGCTTAGTTTGTATCATGTGAAGTCCATACACAATTTCCCTTAGCTATAGTCTTATGAAGAAAGATTCTTGGTTAAATTCTTGAAAGTGGTATGTATATCCTTTAAAAGAGATGCTTGATTGCTTTGTCACAGATTCAAAAAAATCTTCCATTACTTGTATAGGATTGTGCTTAAAGTTTCTCTAATCTTTTTACATTCAATTTGCAGCATTTGTTCTGATGTTGATAATTGGGAGCTGATATCCAAGTATTCCAAAAGATTTGTCAAGGCTGGAGTCAAATTGCGGAAAACTACATTTGACATTTGGATGGAATTTGCTTCTAAGAGAGGTTCTTTTGTGTTTTAATTTGTATTATCTTTCTTTAGTTTATTTTGTCCTTGTTACATGGTTCTTATTGTCAATTGGCATTGTTCGTCGTTAAGTACATGTGTGATAGAGTTCTTCTATTTAAGGAAAATTCTGAGTTGCATAAGGGAATCTTATTTAAGTCAGAGAGTCAATTATAATTTAGGTAGTTTTGATGATTGAACAGTCATGACTAGTGACTAGTTGACTATTTTTTAGTTGATAAGTAATTAGAAGCATAAAACAATCTTGTATGCTTTGAGATGTAGTCTAATACTATTCCATGCACAACTTTTGTTTTTATTTCTATTATCCTGAGATGCTCTCTTTGAACCCTTTGGGTAGGATAGGAATCATGCATAGTTACAATTTATCAAAATAGTTTTCAAAACTATGTATACAGTCTTATCTTAAGTTGGACCAACCCATTACAGCTGACCCTGATTGCCATATTCTATTGCAGGTGATCTCAAGTCACTGTGGAAAATTGAAGAGTTAAGATCTGATATGTACAAGCAACACACTATTAAGAGTGGGTTTTGTTGTGCTAAGGTAATGCCTTTCATATACCTCCATTTATGTCAGATGGTGGTACTTAACCTATATAATATTGATTTAAAATTGGGATAACATTTCTTGTTTTTGAGTCCATGATCCCAATCGCCTTCTTTGTGAGGCAAAAGGGATCGCTACATTGGAAACATTGACAAGTAAAATCTCACCTTTTATACATTTTAGAGAATTCCACCTATTAATTTCTGAAGAATAATTTTCAAGATCCAGGCCTTCCAGCATCGCTTCCCTAATTGGACATTATTCCATTGTGGCACATTTTTTCCTTCCTAAATTATTATTCCAAATGAATTTACAGTTAAACAACCATCCTTTTTCCCAGCCCACATTACCTCTCCTTGCACCACCCATTTCCTTTTATGTAGTCTCTCCAGCTTCTGCTCTAACCACTAATTAAGCCACCTCCTTCAACCACCACCACCCCCTCTTACCCCATATTCTACTTCTTAAATTTCCTCCATAACCACTTATTTGTATTGTTTTGTTTAATGTTGCTGAATTAGTTTGTGTTTATTGGTTTTTTTGCTAGATTTTGCTATATGCATTAGGCAGTGGTTTGCATTTACGCCATTTAGGGGATAAGATAGTGGTGATGCTGTGATGGTAGAGAGAGGTAAGAGATGATCGTAAAGGAGTGAGATGTGGGGTGGGGGCTTTTGTGTTTAAATTTGATCAGACCATAGTGGTGGTTGTGGATGCAAAAGAAAATATACATTAGGAAGTGGTTTGCATTCCGGGGCCTTTTGTGTTTGAATTTGATCAGACCATAGTGGTGGACCTGGTGGTTAAGAGATAATTATTCCTATCAAGCTTTCTCAATATATCACCTTGCACCTATAGTGGGAATTCACTAATTAACTTCAGATCACCCATGGCCAGTAATGTCTTATTCAGCCAATGTTTCTTAGGTGTCAGCTGTCTCTATCATGTTATAGCCAGTAACTCATGAGTTATCTCAAAGCCCCCCTTTCATGTTTTTCTGTTAAGTAATGACGGATTATAACATAAAGGTACCAAGGGGTGACAGTGATGCCCATTTACAAAAGGAAGGCTAAAGACAAAATAGTTCATACCCTTAAGCTATCTGTCATTTAATTATCTACAAAATCGTGACGAGTCATGCAGCAAAAACCCAACTCCAGCTAATCAAATGCCTCACTAGATGGAATTCAAAACCTTGAAGAGGGGAAGCATTACATTAAAAAATTCTGTTGGTTTCTTTCTTTCCAATTGCTCCGCCAAATGAACAGTGAAATTATGTGTCAAGATTAAGCTCTTTCCACACTTCTTTTCCATGAAACAGAACAACTTTACTAAATAAGGTCACAAAAATAGTTTATCATTATGTTTCCAACCCCAGATTCTCTGTTGAAAAAAATCATCTGATGTGAAAAATAAAATGTTGTGATGGGTTACAGAGAGAATTACTCAATTTAAACTGTATATTGCACTTCAATGTGGGAGCAGCCCCTTGCACTCCTGCAACTGAAGGTCACTTGTTAATGTACTCTTTACTTAAAAATCTCGGAGCTCTTTTGGGTGGTGGAGATCCCTTGTAAATTGTAAAATTCTGCCTATATCTTAATCAAAGGAAGTACGACAATTAAATCAGGTTTTCTGTGCTACGTAGTATAAGAAATCTGTTACCTTTTGCTATAACGCATGCTCTTATGATGTCTCTTTGAATGTATAGGGATTCTTACTTGAGCAAAACCCTGATAATGCTGCATCTGTGATTCAAGCGGTCAATCAGGTAATTATATCAGCTCACATAATGATTTGAACTATGTACCACCTATTCTCATTATCTGTAGTATTAAACTATTATTCTGTCTTAAATGCATACTAAAATTAAACCGGGAAAGAGGAATGTCTTGCCAATATTTTTTGAAATCCTCTTTCCATTTTTTTTTTTTCATTTTAGCTATTAATTTGAAAACAATTTTCATATACATGACTAGAGTCTTGTCATTCCCGATTGATCTTCTTTATCATTATTTAAACTATGATAGTGTGATAAAATTATATAGGAAAAATTGCAGGGAATAATCCCACCTTTAGGGCGTCGGCGAAATATAATCCCACCTTTGGGATATAATTTAAATAATCCGATCTTTGTACCCAATCCGCTCAAAATGGTCTCAACCATTCCATGTAACCTGGTATAACAAGTTACATGACATGTGGCAGCTTGTGATTGGTCAAAAAAATAAAAATAAGTAAATTAAAATATTTAAAAAAGTTAGATTTTCTTAAAGAAAAAATAAAAAAATAATTAAAAGACCACCCATCCAAGCCACCGCCGCTGCCGCTTGAGCCCAATCCTCTGCCCCACGGCTTCGCCACCCAGGCCCCAACTAGCAGCGGTGCTAGTGTCACGATCGACCCCCTACCCTTGAAAACCCCTATCCCGTCCGATCCTAGCCCCTCCCCATCCCCTGTACCACCGAGCACCTTCAATTCGAAACCCTTCCCCGTCCCAATCCTGACCTCCCACTTTCTCCGCCACGTTTTAGCCCCCCTCCCTTTTCCGTTCCCCTTCCCCTTTTTTGGCCTTCTCCCCTTCTCCTTGGCCAGATTTCGGCCTTCACCCTTCCCATGTCTCGATTTCAACCCCCTCCTCTTCCCAGCCTTAGTTTCGGTAAGAGGTGACGGAATGGGGTAGGGTAGGGGCGGCGACAAGCGTGAGGGAGTTGCGCTCTGGGTGCAGCGGAGGTTGGCGGCCGGTCTGAGTCAATGGTGGGGTGGAGAGGTGGCTGGTGTTGGGGCTAGGGCTAGGGCTAGGGCTAGGGCGGGTGGTGGTGGTGGTATTAAATTTTTAATTAGTTTTTTGAAGAAAGTTAGTTTTAAATAAGCTAATTAATGTTAATTAGTAATAATTATATCCTTAAAAAGATAAAAGTAAGTTTTTTTTTTTTTTTTTAATTTTTTTAATTTTTTTTTTACCAATAACGTTGTGACACGTGTAGATTAGGCTTAATTAAAAAAAATTTCCTATCCAACCGGGTATAGGTTATTTGGGACCATTTTGAGCAGATTGAGTATAAAAATTGGATTATTTAAAAATATCCCAAATGTGGGATTATTTTTCGCGGATGCCCCAAAGGTGGGATTATTCCTAGCAATTTTTTCAATTATAAAATGTACACTTATTTTGTTATAATTTCCAATATTCGTCAAATCTATATACTAATACATCTATCATTGACTATATTATACTAAAAGAATCATTGTGAATAACACTTGCCAAATCCTGGCTATAATTTTCTTTGGGGTTTTTTTTGCTGTTTTTTGGAGTTTTTTTTTGGGAATTATTAGATTTAGATATGACAAGATATGACTGTATAAGTGCTATACCTTGACACATACTTCCGTTCTTTCCTATCTTCTCTGTATCCGTTAGGCAGCAAGATCCTTTCCAAAGTTATGTCTTTGTATATCTCCACTTTATTACTCTTTTTATATAAGTATTGAAATTGTTTAACATTAAATAAGTGATCACTGGGTACATACTTTTAGCAGACTGCATGAAAAATAATTTTAGGTGAACTTTTTGATAGTAATATTATATTGTACAAGTGAGGCAAGTGGATGGATTATTTCTTATGATAAAAGGGATTCATAAGAGAGACAATAAATTGAAAATTCTTGAAGACTTATGACACTTTTTTTTTATCCAGCTTTACTAAATATTTGGAAGATTATTATTACTTTCGCTCATTTTATTTGTTAGGGTGACATAATCAATACTAGCTCCATTATTGTGTAGTCTAATCCTTAATTTCCATGTTATCCAATCTCACATGATTATTCAAATTTAGTTTATTCCATACAAGTATGGAGTTTATATTACCACGTGTCCCTTATTTCCCATGTATACCCAATATCACTTGCTTATTTATGGTTTTTTTTTTTTATTTTTTTTTTAAAAAAAATTATTTATTTATATATTTATATTTATTATTTATTTATTTTTTGAGGAATCTTATTTATGTTATTTTATTTCATACAAATATTGATTTATTAGTATGCACACGTTCTAAACTACTAGTACATAGATTATGCTTGTTTACTCTACCAATTAATATTACTACCTCCGTTTCATATTTTTTGCAACTTTTGCCAAAAAATGGATGCTACACATTATTTGCAACTAATGTTTTATTTCCTTTTTAGGTTGTCATTTCTCTCTTTCTCTCTTCTCATCACATGCATTCTTTTTTTTTCTCTCTCTATCTTACACTCACAAACAAATTTTTTCTAGGAGTTCATGCACCCTTCAAAGTTGCTAAAAATGTGAAACGGAGGTAGTATAAGCAATAGCTGTGTTCTGTGTGGAAGTATGCATGCATTGTTAGCTAATTGTGTTAGAGATGTGAATGATATTAAAATATACCGAGGGCCTTTAAATGCCTGCATATCTCATTTCTATATGACGTGTTTCATTTATAGTACCATGTTAAATCAGAATAGGACTATAACTGGATAACGACAATTAATCTTCAAAGCACACAGACCCATTCAATTCCATTTTGCTGAGCTGTAGAATCTGTTCATTTTATTTGCAGTGATTTAGCATGCTCAGGTACATCTGAATTAAATAAGTGTGTTATTATGTTAGTGACGGTTTACTTTTTTATATGGAGCTTCTACTTTGTGCTTGTCAGAGTTTTCCTGATTCAAAAAGGCAAGATATAGTTGATGAACTTCAAAAGCTGATCACTGAATGGCCTGCAGAGGTCTTGAAGCATCAGAAGCTGGATGATCAAAAGGTAATAATATTTTACAATTAGTTTTTTGTTACCCATTTCTTCTGTTATATATTATTTTTGATTATTTCATTACCCATAGTAACCCGATTTATTATTGCCAAGGTATTAGTTATTATATTGGTATTTTAACAAGTGCGTTGATATTTCAAAAAAAAAAAAAAAAAAAAAAAAGAGCATTGATACTATAAATAAGAATTAGTTGAGGATTAATTTTGTAAGTGGCAGATTATATTAAATGAGAAAAGTTCATTTAGGGTTCAATTAACATGAAAGGTTTTAAATAGGTGGATTTAAGATGATCTGAGCTGTCATGCTTATTGTACTGGAAGCAATTGTTTATAAACTGCTGTATATAGGTATTGTTATAACTACTTGTTTCTGAAATTCCTGATGAATAAGGTTTCACTTAGTATGCGTTGGATGTGTTTTGCAAAAATAAGGTACTGCTGTTTTGTTCGTTCTCTGCACCAGCAGAAAGCCAGAAACAAGCAAATCGATGCATGAAATAATTTATTGTGGTTGTTCCTTCATTGGGTTTACTTTGACTCATGTCATCTCTGTTCTCTGCTGGACAGGCATTGATTTCTTCATTGAAGGCTGATATTCCTGCTTTGCTTAGCTCCCTCTCCAACATGGGTGTGAAATCGAGTGTCAACTTGAAAGACCTAAATATCACAGAGCCTATGTCATGTTAATTTTGGCACAACTACTGGATGAGGAATCAAATCACAATCATTGTCGATAATTGCATGAGGCATGGTGCATGGCATTGTTCTGGTGCAATAATTTGCTCACATGCAAAGTTTTCGTCAAGCCATCTTTTTTCTCAACAAGCCAGTAGCAGGGAAGTTTTCTAAAAATTGTTTTAAACGAATAATATTGATATTAGTGTTAGAAATTATTTTGAAATGTTATTGATATTGGTCATGTATCAATGTATCGCCATTTTGCTAGTTCAAACTGTGATAGTGTAAAATATTGTGTGTGTGGATGACATCTATGGACCAGGTGATCAGCCTAGTGAAGAGTGAGGCACACTGCACATTTCAGTGAATAAAAGTATGCTTGCTCAATTTACTCAATTTTGCATGCTTGCTCCGCAAATATGCAAATTGTCACAATTTCCTCTCGTACATGGACCTAGCTATCCTTTGCATTCTCTGATTTGGTTTGCGATAAGAATACTTTTTTAACACAAAAGGGAGCATACTTGTATTATATCATAATAATTCTGATGATATAAATCATCAGATTAGGCAAAACAGATCTGCTGTTTATAACTAGCAGAATAGCAGTAGTACTATACTCAGATAGTTTGTGAAAACACTCTGAGACAAAAGAGCTTAAGCTATTACAGAGAGTAGAAACTAAAAACAGATATATAAAAGCATAAAGATAGTAAGCAGCAACATAGTTGGTATTGTTGATAGCAGCATGAGGAGTTAGCAGCTGCAGGATGGTCCTAAGTTGCTGTATCTGGAGGTATTTCAGCAGCATAGGTCTGATAGACTTCAGGTGGAGGATAGGGGAAAGGAACCACCTCACCCGTCTTGTACTTAGTCCTTCCCATAAAGGCCAACTTATCAGCTACAAAGTTAACACAACGATTAGCATGGAACACAGTAACAGTCCAATCTCTATTCAAAAGAGCAGCAACATCACGTATAATGTTGCCTAAATCACCATCCTCAAAAGACTTCGGATCCTTAAGCATCTTGGATAAGCTGTCAGCATCAGTCTCAAGCTCCAAGTTTCTCAAATTCTTATCCCAGGCAAGGAGAAGACCCTCCCTAATAGCTAGGAGTTCAGCAGAGGCAGCAGTTAAGGCATTGAATTTTGCAGCAAATCCAGCAAACCAAATCCCTTTTGCACACCTGATAACACCCCCTCCACCAGCATTATCCACACTAATCCAACTCCCATCAGTATTAAGCTTATAAGAGCCACTGTGAGGAGGTGCCCAAAGTCTGGGGACCTGGGTAATTGAAGACGATGGAGAGTCACTACCAGCAGCCTGATTCATTCTCAAACAGAAGATGTAATCCCCATAAAATTTGTTAAAAGTAGAATTAATGAAAAGCATCTTTTGTTCAAAAATAGCCATATTCCTAGTGATCCAAATATGCCAAATGGCTACTGTAAAAACATTTTTCCAAGAAGTAGAAAAGGAAAGATTAAAATGTAACCAATCAGTTAAGTTGGTATTGTAAAAACGATGTAAATCCACATTTAAAGACTTAAATTTTGCAAACACTAAAGACCAGAAAGCTGAAGAGTTAGGACAATCCCTAAAAAGATGAATAGTATCCTCCAAAGGAGCTTTACAACGCATACACATAGGATCTAGGAAGTTCATTTTCTTTTTGAGGGTACTACCAACAGGAAGAATGTCTCTAATTAGGTTCCAAAGGAGCATTTTGTATTTATAAGGAACTCTAATCTTCCACATATTTTTCCAGTCAAAAGAAGAAAGAAAAGAGGTGTTAAGGTTAAAGGTAGGGGTAGTACTATTATAAGCAGATTTAATATTAAAACTTCCAGAATGATGGAGATTCCATTTTAATCTATCTGAAACTTGAACAAGTTTAGGAAGGGGATAGGCTAGGATTAAGGGGATTAAAGAAGGAGGAAGGAGATGTTCAACACTATCCAAACACCAATTATTATTCCTAATGATATCGGAGACACGCCAATGGGCTTTAGAATTAGGAATATGAAAGTTAGGAATTTGATATAGGGGACACTCACCAATCTAATGGTGGAACCAAAGAGAAGTATCTTTCCCATCTCCTATGTTTATAATAACTCCTTTCTTAAGAACATCCCTTCCGGCTAAGATATCTTTCCAAATAACCGAATCAGTAGGCTTAGGGTTATAGTCCATGAAATTAGAATATTTTAGATATTTGTTTTTTAGAATTTCTATCCACAATTTATTATTTTGAGTTAGAATTTTCCATCCGAGTTTAGCCATGAAAGAAATATTCCATCTTCTAAGATCCCTAATACCTAAACCTCCCTTAGCCATAGGATCACAAACAACTTTCCAATTGGTTCTAGGGATGTATTTAGTACGGTTAACCCTATTCCAAAGAAATTGTTTGCATTTTTTCTGCAAATCATAATGACATTGATAGGTAATAAGATAGTTTGCATAGCATAAACAGGACAAGAACTTAAGACAGATTTAATTAGAGTGCATCTTCCGGCCATGTTCAAAAGTTTGGCTTGCCAACCTTTTATTTTAGCACAAGTTTTATCCAAAAGAGGAAAGTAATCTAAACTATTAAGCTTCTTATGGGAAATAATAATTCCTAGGTATTTACCAAAATTTGTAGTATTAGCAATATTACAAATAGAATTTCTCACATTATGATTCATTTTCTTAGGGAAGACAGCAGAAGACTTTTGAATATTAATGGAAAGACCCGATATAGACTTGAATTGATCAAGGACTTCCATCATAGTGGCTATATTAATAGAGGTAGCTTTTCCGAAAAGAAAAACATCATCAGCGTAGAAAAGGTGAGAAATATTTATATTTTTAGCAATTTTCATAGGTTTCCAATCACCTTTATCAACTCTATCTTGAATCATACAAGAAAGGCGATCAAGACATAGGACAAAAATATACGGGGAAAGGGGATCACCTTGTCTTATTCCCCGAGATGGAGAAAAAGATTCAGTAATTTCCCCATTCCAAAGAAGGGAAATCTTCGGAGTGCATATACAACTCAAAATAAGATTAACTATATTAGAAGGGAGATTAATACTTAGAAGAGTATCTTTAATAAAACTCCATTCTAGACAGCCAAAAGCCTTAGAAAGATCAATTTTAAGAGCCATAAGCTTGGCTTTACTAGAGGCTTTATTAAAATGGTGAGCAACTTCTTTAATGATAATAATATTTTCCTCGATAGACCTATTGGGAATGAAGCTAGATTGAAAAGGGCTTATAAGGTCATCCATAATTGGTTTTAACCAATTAGCTATGCATTTAGTGATTAGCTTATAAATAGAGTTGCATAATCCTATTGGCCTGAAATCTTTCATAGTACTAGGGCAATCACACTTAGGTATGAGAGAAATGTAAGAATCATTAATGGCACTAGGAATAGACCCATTTAAAAAACAGTTAGCAATAAAACTACTAATACAGTCACCTAGATACTTCCAGTGATGTTGAAGAAAAATAGGTTGGAGACCATCTGGTCCCGGGGATTTGATAGGGTCCATCTGAAAAAGGATCGACTTCACTTCCTCTTTAGAAGGAGGCAGATGAAAGCTTGGATCAGAACAGGCAGAGTTAAGCTTTGGAAATTGATAACTACTCATCAAATCAGGATCAATATCCACACTCTTAAAAATATTTTGAAAATAGGTTCTAGCCATATCTTTTAAAACAACCAAATCATTTATCCAAATATTTTGCGATAAGAATACTTAATTTTATCATCTCCATCAAATCTGCATTGGTTCAATCTTGACACCGACGGCCCTATTTCTATCATTGCCTTCATTTGTCTTGCCCCTTACAATGTTGAAGTTTTATGATTGATATAAATCAGAAATGGATTGGAAAAGACACAATTAACTGGGGGTTGGGAAGATAATTTGTTTGGTTTAACCATAGAAATGAATAACTTTAACTTAATTCCCTTTCTTGTTTGTGGAGGGTAAGGTTATTGATGTCTTAGATTTTGAGAGGTAACAAATATGTTAAAACCATTAACCTCAAATAATGATTGTTATCCAAATCTTTTAACAGGGTTGAATAGTCCCAATTTTAACTTTCAAATTTGCCGTATAGTTTGTTCATGTTTTGTTAATGTGCAAATATAGTTTCCTCCTTTTGTCTAAATGAGCAGATATGTTAATTTGTTTTATTTGGTTTTATTTGTGGCCGGGTTACTTGAGTTACTCGGTCATGGATTACTCGAGTTATTCGGTCATGGATTACTAAAGTTACTCGGTGAGGGACTATTTGAGGGGTTCGGTCAGGGCTTACTTGAAGGAGTTGGTTGGAGGTTAATTGAGGGGTTACTCGGTCAGGGGTTATTCGAGGGGGTATTCGGTGAGAGGTTACTTGTGGGGGTATTAGCTAAGGGGTTACTTGAGGGGTTATTCGGTCAGGAATAACTAAAGTAACCCTGACCACACGATGTGACCAGTCAAACAGAAAAATCCCCAAAATAATATTACTTCTTCCGTTGAAAGAGAAAATGTTTCTGGTACGAGTATATGAGGTCCATATGCAGAGATATAAAGTTTGATGTGTAATGAAGAGAATGTGTTTGGCAAAAAACATTTTTTTTTGACAAGTTTGGCAAAAAACATTAATTGTTATTTTATTGTCAAAACTCATTAATTCATGACAAATTCCACCGTATTTTGACCATTAAAATCAAATATGGAATGTAATTTAGTGGCAACTTTAAATAAGTGATAATTTAATTATTTTAAAGGTTATGTAACATTACAAAAAATGAAGATCATATTTTACGTGTACGTGAATGAGTTAACTTACTTTATTATACTATCCCGTTTCTTTTTAATTGACACGTATTCCTTTTTTAGGAAGTTTTTTTAGTTGACACTTTTTTTTTGGGATAACTTTTTTTTACCTTGCATTTAAAAGCTACATCACTTGCCTTTTTATTCTCTCTCACTCTTTCTTCTCTCCTTAATATATGTGCCTAAATCAAACGCGTCAATTAAATAGAAACGGAGGAAGTATGTGAATATGCTCAGTAACACGTAGAAATTTATGGATTTGATATATTATGATTAGGGGCAAGATAAGGGACTAATAAATAGTGAGCTGCTTAAAACTTTTTAAAGGATTGTAAAATCATTTTATGATGAGAGACAAAGACAACTAGGGACGCAATCCATTGAGGTTTCACCCCTGGAATGATCCATGAAATTGTTGACTTTGTATAGTCTTGAACCATCTAAAATTTGAGTAAATGTATTGAACCATTTAAAATTCGAGGATGAAGTTATGAAATTAGATCATGACATAACATAATGATTATAAGGTTTGATAAGCTTAAACTAGTAATTACTCATT